TGGGCGTAGACACTTCATTTTTGGCCAGCTCATAGAACAAGCTAACGGTAACCTATATTTAAAATTTGAATTCTTACGCTAAAAAAATCTGAAAATTACAGGATATTCTTCGATAAGGTACGCCCCTAAAGAGGCGTAACAATCATTTTTGGGAGATCGATAGAGGAGATTACTAGTAATCTATCTAACCAAATTTGAAGCTTCTAGCTCTTAAGCTGTAGGAGACTAGACTTTTGCGGTTTGCCACACCCCCTTTGGGCAGATTTTGAAAAATCACTATATCTTCACTATTCTTCTTTGCCACGCTCCTAGTAGGCGTAGATATATAATTTTTCCACCCATCTTTAAAGAATCGAAACATTAGCTCACGTGCAAATTCAGCATTCTAGATTTACAACTTTGGGCGGAGATATATCCGCCATAGCTGGTCCACGCAGATCTACATACAAAATTGTGTAGTGTGGATCCACGTACGCATTACACTACATAAATCTATTTTATAAACAAATTTGTATGTACAATGTATAATTAAGATGTCTACAAAAGTGGAAGCAGCAGCTCTGCTCTATTGTTTCCATAAGTATGCTATATATCTGAAAACGTTCAGTTTCTCTTGAAAAACTATGAAAGACTGCATATTTTTTGGAGGAGGCATAATGGTACATTAGTTAAAATAATGGGAGTGGTTGACTAGCATATATTTTTCGAGTAGGAGGCGAGGTATCCATTCGATGATGCCAAATTATCGTTTTTTAAGGATAAAAATAAAATTGAGCAAAGGCTGAAAATAGAGTAATTATTAAAATTATGATACTGCATGTTGTATATACGACTAAGCATTTAAAACTCTTGGTTGAGAATAAGTCTGGATTGAAGCAGCTCGACGTTCTGTTTGAGAAAATACAAATATTCTTAATGGCTCTAGCTATTCTCTTACTTTCTCTACTAATAAACCTTAAATTAACATTTCAGTGAATTCAGAGTATTATCAGCCAAATATTTTTAAATAGATTTTATACTTCTTACGATTTAGAAATTCATTTGCGCTTCACACAAATTTTTTTATATATGTTCATTTATATCTATATGTGAACCGTGCCATTTATTTTAAATTAACTGATATTGTCTTATAAAGATCATGATCTGCTGACAATTAGCAATTAAAGCTTGAGATATGTAACTCGAATGTTGTAATTGCAAGGGATCGCCACCTATTGGGCGTTTGCCGCATTATAATCAGATATTCTTACCAGCAAGTACCATAGAGAGGACACAAACCTTTGAAGTGTGACGCTGAATTACTCCGAGGCTCGCACCACTGACTTAGGCAAACAAATATTACAGTGCAGCAAATTATGTACCCTTTTTGTATACCCTATACCCTGAACCCATTCTCTATGGCAAGTCAGACTGTAATGTATTTGTTAAATATGTAAGAATTCGCCGAAATATAACTCTAGGTATTGTATCCATTTAATTTTACTTCCAATTTTCTCATTTATCTGGTTTAGATAACCAGATTAGAAAACGATAAAAATACATACATGTATGAAAACAAGTATGCAAATCCTAGTCGAGAGTTCTCGAACTAATTTTTGATATGCTTAAAAATATAAGAAAAATAGAAAACTCATTTAATTAACTATATAAATATTTTTAATCAATTAAAAAAAAAAGCATCAATTTGCGCGCGCGCTGGATGCGAACCGACACCCGAGAATAGCTGTTGAGAAATCTAGAACACAACAGCAATGCGAGTCCAAGAATATGCTAGAATAAGTTTGATTGAATGTTGTGTGCACACACATACTGCATAGCTGCTCCACGTGCGTTTGTTAATTGGAATTTAATGAAACTTTCCGCATATTTTATATATACCCTGAGTACCCATTTTCAATGAGTTCAGGATATAATAAGCTAAACTTCTCTAGTCGACTAGGAGATACCCTGATCCCTCCAATCTGCACGTACGTATAAAAACACGCTCTGCTAACTGC